AGTATTTTTCATTTTTTAACTTTTGACGAACTACTCATTACTTGAAAACGAATGCTGATTAAACTTTTTTCCAAACTGAAATAAACGGTCTACCAAACTAACACGGTCATTCACATCACTCTTCTCATTTAATTTATAGCATTTCTCGACTGTGTTGTAATTTGATACATAGGACTATAGGAAGAGAAGCGCGATAGCAATTCTTGCATTTCATCATTTAACGTCCCAATGATTAAGTGTCAATGATTCTGTCTCTCACGATAGTAATTATTATGAAAAAAACAAATCCATTTAAAACAATTAAATGAAACCTACCGATAATTATTGCTGAGTTCATATCACCAATTTTGAGCTGCGTGCAGCACATATCCTCCAGCAATCTGTTTCGAAAAGAGTACGCAACAAAAAATCAATTACTGAGTTAACGCCTTCCATTAACTCACCTATCTATCAGTAACTGTGAATCTGCTGGATGTGACATCAAATGTCGTTCTTCCGCAACCCATTCAGCGCGGTCATCGTTTGCATATATTCGTGATGCATAGCCAAACACAAGCAATTTATCCTAGAACAAAGCAAGTTATTTGGTTTCCTTCCGTTCTTAATATCTAATTTCTCCTCTCTTTTATCGTTCCCATATGTGTTTGAAAAAATCTTAATCTATTCCAGATACTGGGTCACTACCCGAGTGGTAAGATTTCAAAACTCCGTCCAAAGTAATTAGCGCCGTTTATTGACATTTACGAGTTATGTTATATAGTACGGATGAACACGTGCTACTACGTATCTGAACGGAGTTTACAACAAGCAGAAATTTCAAAGGACAGGAATCTTTCTAGCAAAAATCCTACCTGTGCTTCATCTGGTCCTCGCCGTTTGGCACAACAATAAAGCCTTATATTTTCTGCACTCATAATGCAATCATCAAATTGAGACAATTAAGCAACCAAATAGAAAGATATACTATGGACCACTTTGTAGCCAGTTCTGTAACTAAGCAAAAAAAACGAAAACTTCAAAACATAACTATGCATAAGCATAAGCGTATATGACATCTTCTTTTCCCACTCTAATTTGCAAAAAATGCACAAGTTAATAACTATCAGGTACCCGAACGTTATTTCGAAACAAAATGAAAATTAAAATAATTATTTAAACAGTCCACTAGAAGAGACTAACTAACTGAAGGATTTGTTCAGTTACACTTCAAAAACTCATTTAAAGCTGCTTTAATTTGATGTCATAAAAAACACTCCCAATATAATACTGATGATTAAAGTGCTTGAAGTATTTGAGTACTTGAGTAGTAAAGTATTTGAAAGCTTTTGCTTAAATTACAATGGAACAAGCTATGGGACGTAAGGGAAATCACACGTAATTTATCAATATCATCAACATACATAGACCATTTACAAGCATATCTGGATTCCACAGAAGTATTCATAACACTCTAAAACTATCTGACATTCAACATACTTTTCGCCTAATGATTCCATAAAATTACAATGGAAATAAAAATTAACAACTAATCATAATCAGTGGGAAACAGTGTTGTCCGAAAAGACATAACAGAAACTACAAAATTAACAACACCATAATGATAATTATCCCGTAACAACGAAGATAATTCCAATTAAAATCGCCGAATTTGATGATAGGCAAATTCTACCAGCATGAGGTCCAAAATTAAAAAGCAAATAAATAATGTGAAATCCAAGAAGAAATCATACTGATAATCATGTTGAAGACATCTAAACTTCGGAAGAAAAACCTTCAAAACAATGTTCATGATAGTTTGATTAAAATCACAGCAAGATCAACAACTTCACAAATATTTTTCTTCCAAAGACATTCCATCACAGTCTCAAATAACTCTACTGTCAGCCAAGCTATCCAGTATCCTCAAAAAACGATCTTGTTCTGAAAAAAATATTTGTTGACAAAAATCAATTTTATCTGAACTGGAATTATTAATTACTTTTTAAGTGAAAAAGAGTAGTGTATAAGCATCAAATTTATTATTCTAAAAGGTTAACAAACAGATAAACCTTCTTCAGAAGCACAACCAATGCATTCTTTAGGATCGTGCGAATGTTCGACGCCCAAAGTCTTCAGAATTTGACTTTCTAACAAATTTGTTGCTTGTGTTGTCGGCGGAATTACGTCTTGATCAGCTGATTCTATCAAGTTCACATTGCTTGTTTGCAAAGCTGAGTAATATCCATCATTATAACCCTGCTTATAGGCCTTCTAAAAAATATTTTCATTCACTCAAAAAATTTTTTGCAAATAAAGATAAAATTTCAAGCGTAACTGAATGTTTAAAGCAGTAAATAAGGAAAATCGATAATAGAATGACGAAATAAATTAGGAAAGTGACATACTGAAGTATACATGGCTAAATCAGTCGTATATTGGCCTTCATACCGTTTTACCGTTTCTTCTAACGAATTTATCCTTTGTACGAGCCTGCAGTGTAACTTGAACAATAAATATTAATCCGCTATCTTGAAAATTTTCAAGAAAACTTGAAAGAATACTAAAATAAGTGATAACCTGAAAATTAAAAGCTAATGATAATCACACACCTGCAAACGTCCCATGCATGCCCGTTCTGCATTTTAATGATTTCTGCGTATAAATTCTCTTCGACTTTGTTCTCTTTTGTAATAGTCGACAAATTACTTAATTCGAGGCTTGTGGATGCTTCATTTTTGCACCTCCTTTCATAATCCTGCAAAAAAAAATAACCCAACATTTTTTTCATGTTCAGAGAGAATGAAAATTTTAACAATTTGAATTGCTGCAGCTCAAAAAAAAGTTGCTGAATGTATGAATTACCTTGCTGACCAATTCCAGCGCTCTAATGCTATCAGTTTTAGATGCACAGGCAGAGGTAATCGAATTACTGAATTCACTTGGCAACATAGTTTTTGCTGATGTATATATGCGTTGTAAAAAGCTCTTCGGTTTAATAGACGCATCATTCATAGATTGTGCTTGACTCTTAGACAGAACATTGACCTGCAACTAAATACAATAATGATTAGTAAACAAAAGTAGCAAAAAATTATTAAAATGATTAGTAAAAAATGATGCAACTGATGGTTGATAATTTTTTCAAAAAATTGAAAAACTTTTGTACCTGTTTCAATTGCGAGGATTCGTCCAGAACTGGGCCACTCTTAAAGCAGCTTTCAGGAGTAGATAAATCCTGAGGAGAAAACCATTTCTCGACATCATCAAGCATATCGTAATCCGAATCGTTTAAAAGTGGAAAAAATGAGTCCCCTGTTGAAACACCCTGACTTGCATAATGAGCCCTGTAGCAATAATAAGTGGATCAAAAAAAATGAGATGATAGAAAGAAAAGTAAAATGGGTTCCAATGGCACTTAATGGTATTACAGCAAATATAAGTATAAAAGTACCCATTAATTAGATCCATGAATGTGCGAGAGTACAATTTGATCCAATTCCCTTTCGTGTCACCGAGTGCATTTCCATTAGCAACAAGCCATTTACGAATATAGTCAACAATCCGCACATCAGGAATCTCACCACGTAATCTAGACGCTTCCAAAGCTGCTATTATTAATCCATTCTCTGAGCACAGCTGATTTGAATTACTCCTCAAATGTAAAGAAAATCATTAGAGGTGCTAAAAATGTCCATCATTCAGTACGCTTCCTCTCGCGGTGATAGCACGAGAATATACAAAACAATGTGTGAGCCTACTTGAAAATCTCTGTCAACAGTAAAACAACTCGATCTAATAAATGTATTTGTCACGCACAGACTAATCTTTTTAGCTCTAATCGATCAATTATTCTCGGTTTTTTTATGCCTGGTTTATTTGAAAATTACATGAATATTCATTCAGCCCTGTTTTAGCACTACTGCATTGTAATTACTTACTGAAGTCAGATATCGTGAAGGCACTTTCACTCGCAAAATACATAAAAACATTGAAAACTTCTCACCGCATTTCCTTATTGATGAAAGACACCAATAAATTCCAGAAATTGAGCATCATATAACTAGGTTGTGCAAATGCTAATGGTGGTAAAATATTCAAACTGGGAGTACCATATTTCTGTCTATGAGATGTACACAACTCAGACCACTTTGCTGCTCCTAATAATAGCACCTAAATGAATTGGTAAGTCAAAAAATCATGCACAATACATTAAATCACGCAATAAAATATTGTCATGATTTCGAAGGCATTTAATTCGTCTCAAATAAAGGCTCGTAAAATGTACTTTTGCATCAATCCTGCTTAGTGATGACAATGTAAATGATTGCAAATCATCCCCATCAGAAATCTTGGCAGGTATATTTTTCAAGAAAAGATCCAAGAACGAAACTGAAACTGATAATTAATTACAGTTTGATGATTCATAAACCAACTAACTGATACCAACTTTTCCATTCCAAATTATAGCAATTGTAACGATTTAGATAAGGACGATACATTCACTTACCGTTATTGCGTATATCACTGTTATACGCTAACAACCATAATAAATTAATCAAAAAGTCGTTTTTATCCGCCAACATAATAAGTCCTAAAAGATTAAAGAGCTCAGCAAACAGGTTTTAGTGCGCCGCAATAATGAAATTTTCAATAAAAACGAAAATTTCCAAATGTTAGAACTAAGCGACAGAATCATCAACAAGACCCGGAGAATATGAAATAAAAAAATTTTGCAAAATCCAAATTATAATATCATAAACATAAGAATTTATAAGAAATGATAAAAGTAATCCTCACTGCTGACTTTGTTTTGTTCTATACCATGCGTTTCATGAGTGCTTGGCAGCGAATTTATTGAAATCATGAATGATTTGGAACGAGATGTGGAAACACCGTTACAAGCAGTATACAAGCGTTCTCCAAACTAAAATATCTTTACAGCGCAATGATTTCAGCTTTGCAATATATCATTCTCATTTTAACTATTTCGAATAAAGATAATGCGTAAGCCTATCATTTCGAATAATGAGATTTTCCAATATTTTAAGCACGACATAAAATTTCATGAAGTGAGATTAAAACTTAATAGTTGTATGAACTGCTGAATAAACAAGATACCAGCTGTGAAGTTAAGTTGGATATTTTGATCCTACTGAAATGCTGAAGAAGTGTATGCAGTATGAAAGTTTCAAGCACAAAGATAGCAGCAAGCAAAGGTGATACAGGTGATGCTTTGTAAAAAATATCATACGCAATCGAGTAACTGATAAATGCCAACTCTTCATAAATTCTGCTTTCTTTTTCCTGAAATGCAAAATTTAACAAAAAAAAAAGGATGACAGTATCAAAGATAAAGTCACTGTAAAGTAAGATCAGTTCTTCTAGTTTAACCATATTCGCTTCGCTTTAGATATTCAAGAAGTAAAAAATAAAAAAATAGAACCAATAATATTACTGTATTGTGGAGCAGAAGGAATGTATCACCAATATTTCGAAATAAAATGCCTTTAGCAAATGACTGAAAGTGGTCCAAAGACGGAGTGCGAGGAAGTTCTATCACTTCCCCAATTAAGGCGTCTAATCTGCAATGAAGCAATAAGCAAACACTAAATATATCTTCTACACCTCTTTTTTCATTTCCATTTCTAAAATTTTGAAAATATGATAGTGTAGTTAGTGCTGTCGGACCGAAATTTTTCTTCTATAAAATAGTAGGACGGAGCATGAATTCACTCAAGTATGCAGCTGAAGATCTTGGCAGTGTGCAATGTTCCGACATCGAACAAAAGCTTTAATGAATGTCTGATTCGTCCATTCAGTATTAAAACTAAGGTTTTGAAACGTCCTTCGCTTTCTGGTAAATTTTGTCCCTGAAAATAAAAGTCAACAAGTTTCAACAAACTTCTACCGCAGTATTTCCAGATGTCATAAACCTAGCTGTGAATCGATCTGCTACCATAAACATCCTACTGTATCTCATTTTTCTGAAGATCTAAAGAAACATACAAACATTACTTGGAAAAATATCTTTTCACACTTCATAATATTCACTTATTTCCTCAGAAATAATTACCTTTAGCAATAAGTACGCCCTATTCAGCCAAACCGTATCATTAAATAATGGACTCAGAATTTTCGCTGTCTCTTGTTCCATTTCCTGCATTAATTTCACATCACGTCTCAACTGATTCTAGAATTTCAAACATAACTTTATTAACCTTATTATTAATGCATTTGGTTATATTTCTTAAAAAACTTCTAACTTGATATCTATTGTTTCTATCGTTCTGCCGATACCATTATCAATTAATTATTATTACCTTCATCTGCATCAATTTTTTCAATCTGACAAATTTGCTAACAACTTTCATAGAACGAAATGCTAACAACTTTCATAGAACGAAACTAACAGTCTTGGAAGCAGTGGAAGTTTTCATTGGTTGAAGCATCATATGAATCAGAATAATTCCTATCAAACAATATTATAATGTAACGATATAACGTACAATTAGAACGACCACATAATACCACATATTATTAGCATCACGGCTATAACTAATATAACGCCGGTGTTAGCAACATTATTAAAAGTCAAAAACACTTAAATTTTTTAAACATGTTTCTATTATATTCATATACCAATCAAAATGAATGAGAACCAGAAAAAAAAATTGAAAAAAATCATGAATATAGCACATTTCAAAATAATTTTAGCATAGCAATAATTTTAATTGTAACGAGAAAAATGGTAGGAACACTGTGAAGAAAAAGTTTAAATTCACTTTGCTGTTTGTTACTTGGAAGAGTTTTCTCCACTATAATGCAATGTAGAATATGTAAAAACAGTACGGAGCAAAATTTTTAACTTTGAATAATTTCAAAGATATAGCAGAAAAAAATCTATACTATTGAAGAGGGTACTTATTAACTTTTATAGATTATCACGTAGTCTTTCCAGCCCGAAATCAAAGTGACAAACCCTAAATATCCTCGCTCTCCATCGGTCACTCGCCCACTACTAATTGCAAAAGTATTTTGTCCATTTAAGTTTTGCCTGAGCAGTCAACCATAATGATGGAAGCACAGTGAAAATCATCATCTCATGAATAAACAGTTTCTTCATGAA